ATAAAAGTAAAGAAGTAAAGGAGATTCAGCATAAAATCATGCCGCACCTTTTAGACTTTTGGGAGCAAAACGATCTAGAAATAGGTCAACATTTCTTAAATTTAGTGTATTTACCCTTAATTTGAGCAGTTAAATGAGATAATTTGCTAATGGAATGAGTATTTTTACTCTTAAAATAAGATAATTAGATAAAATGCACTTGAAATAAGACAATGCGGTTGCTTTTTTTTTATTTTAAATGTAAATTGTCTTGTTCCATTGACAAAATGTATCTTTTACCTCCTCAATCCAAGAACAAATGCACTAATTTTAAGAAAAAATTACTTATCTAGATTGTGATTTTTTCCAGTGTACCTGCACTGGAAAAATTATCTAGAAATAAGAACAAATTTCTTAAATTAAATGTATTTATCCTTAATTTGAGCAGGTAAATGAGATAATTTGCTAATGGAATGAGAATTTTTACTCTTAAAATGAGATAAATAGATAATATTCACTTGAAATAAGACAATGTGATTGTGTTTTCTTATTTTAAGTGTAAATTTTCTTGTTCCATTGGCAAAATGTGTCTCTTATCTCCTCAATCCAAGAGCAAATGCACTTATTTTAAGAAAAAATTACTTGTCTCGATTTAGATTTTTTTCCAGTGTACCTGAGCTCTGCAGCTTCTCCAGAGATACACTTTGACTCTTTGCTGCTTCCACTGAAATTTATTTAATAAGTTTATTTTAATAAAAGTAAAGTAAAGTAAAGGAGATTCAGCATAAAATCATGCCGCACCTTTTAGACTTTTGGGAGCAAGCATCACACTGCAAGAACAATCTAGAAATAGGTCAACATTTCTTAAATTAAGCGTATTTATCCTTAATTTGAGCAGGTAAATAAGATGATTGCCAATCGATTGAGTATTTTTACTCTTAAAATAAGATAATTAGATAATATGCAATTAATATGAATGTAAATTATCTTATTTCATTGGCAAAGTTTCACACTAACTTCCTCAATTTAAGAAACAATGACTTATTGAGATGTAAATTCCNTCCTCAATTTAAGAAACAATGACTTATTGAGATGTAAATTCCGTCCAATGCATCCATCCAGTCAATAATTAACTATTTTCTTGTTGATCTATTAAAAAATATATCAGAATGAAATACACAAACGTTTCTTGTTTTAATGAGACCAATTACATGAAGTAATCCTTTAGAAAAATGATTATATGTTCATGGATTCATCTATTTTCTCTGTTCCTCAGGATGCAGGAGAGGAACTGTCGGCTTTCGATGTGGTTTTTTACGCCACCATGGAGGTGAGTCACCTCAGCTGAACGACTCTTTGCTCTCTTTCAGATTTTACTGTTTGCCTCCTTCTGATCACAGGTACGAAACTCTCTGGGTCTGTCTGAGGATGGCGAGGATGAGGAGGGAGGAGGAGGAAACAGCAGCACTCTATCCAGACTTTGGGGGAAGAAACTGAAAATCAGAGAGAGGAGTTACTCCAGAGCAGAGCTGAGTTCTCTGTGGTCGCTGCTTCAGCAGGAGGAGTACACCTTCCTCAGGTAAACAGCAGCCATGATGAGAAACCATGAGTGGAGTCAGTTATTATTTCCTCAGTTATTATTTTCTATTTAGAAGACATTTAGAACCAACATTTATTAAATCACCTATTTCTCTTCTACCAACCTAAAGTATAACAGTTGGATTTAAAATGTATATTTTTGTCTTTATGTAGATATGTTATGATTAATGATGTTTCTGCACAAATCTGGTTACAGGTTTATAATTTTTTTATTGTCATGTTTGCTGATAAACACAATGTGCCAATCTGATCTAATCTTTCCCAGGATAGAGATTAACGTATCTAAATG